CCGCGGGCACCGGGCCTTCTCCAGCCTCCACAAGCCCCGGGGAGCCGGTGACCGAGCCCACTCCCTCGGGTCCAGGCGGCTCCCTCCCCACCCCCACCCCCACCGGTCACGGACAAACCACCACCTCTCAGCCTGCGTCCTCCCACGCCGCTTCCCTGGGAAGCCCCAGCAGAGTCTCGACCACCGTGGCCTCCTTCCAGCCTACAGACACCACTGTCAGTCGGCAGGACTTCGGGTCTACCCTGGTTTCCGCTGCATCTGGATCAACATTGACATCTCAATATTACGATATTAGTAGCATTGGAATTGTTTTTTCATCTTTCAGTCCTAGTCAAGCGTCAGCTAGTCTTACCACCTCTACATCTCATCAGTCATTTCATACCTCCAATGATCATCCTCCATATTCTCCATCCTTGGAAATAACAACCACTCTCTATCAATCTACAGAAAGGCAGTTCTCATCACCATTGTCCCCTGGATATAGCTACAGTACACACAATGTAAATTCTTTTACTCCATCAAATCCCAGTTATATCCCCACTACTGAGTCCTATTTGGAAGAGTCATCCACAGAGTTGACAGATCCATCCATAGTCCCCACTGTCCTTTCTTCTGTGTCAGATTCTAGAATTTCTTCTAATGCTACGTATACCACAATATTTGGGAATTCAGTTTCCTCTTCAAGTCCTTGGAAACCACTTTCCACTTCATATGTCTCAGGACAAACCCTCAGCTCAGTTACCAGACTAGATACAACTCCCACCAGCACCTCTTCCTCTTTTAGTCCTACGTATTTTTCATGGACCTCTACTACCAAGGGTTTACATAATCCTTTATCTACCTTAAGTCCCAGTGACTCTTTCACCAGCTCTATTCTTCAGGGACACATTACTACATCACTTCCTCAAAGAACTTCCACCGTGTACCCTACTATTGAAGATGTTTCCACACCAATCTTTGCTCCCTCTTCTCGTAGCACTGAAATGGCAAATCCTTCTTCTTCACTAATATCCAGTGAAGTCTCTCCCACCTTTATCATTCCTGATGAAACAGCCTCAAGTTTCACCTCCCAGCCCACTCAGTATACAACTGGTTTTGATATGTCTGAGGATACAGCTCGTTCTGAAATATCCTCTGCTGTTGGCATTAGGAGTCCTTCAACCTCTTTCAAACCTGGAGCAGAATCAACCAGCTCTGCTGTCTCAGGACAAGAGGTCACTCTATTCAGTGAAAAATCCACAGATCATATCACCATCTCTGATTCTTCCCAATTCACAGACTCATATACAACCACCTTTACCAATGTTAATGGAAGCACTGTATCCACATCAAGTTCTAGCAAATTCTTTACCACTTCAGATCGTCATGGAGAATTGTCCACATCCTCTATTATGGGATCCACTGTCATGACAACCTTTTCAGATTTGTCAGAGTACACATACTCACCTCACAGTATTTCATCTCCTCCTTCAAGCAGTAATGGATTTGAGCAAACAGCCACCACTGTCAGGGATGGATCTACAATCTTCCAAACAGTCTCAACTTTGTCAAACCAAGCAGTGTCTGCTGGTGGCTCCCACACCACAGTCCTTGGTGCTTCCTCTTCAGAGTCAACTATCCCTGGGTTCCCTTCTGGGCCAGTCTCTGATTCTTCTTCAGCCATTCCAACTTCTCCTTTTGTTCTCTCACTTCCTTCCACTTCACCTGACTCCGGCACCTCTCCAGTCCCTGGCTTCAATATCACTCCAAGTACTTACACCACTGTGATGATATCACACTCTCCAACTATGACACTAAGTAAGTCTTATTGATGTCTCTCTATGGTCTTTCCTCCTCATCTCTCCTCACCTGTTGAATCCACTCTGACTTGTTTGTGGCATTCTTTTTCCATATGTCCAGCTATCTAGTCATCAGTGTCCATCACCCATGTTCATAGTTTCTGTCCTCTTTTGATGTGTAAGACTTCCCCTCTTTTAATATCCTCTTGTATCATTTCTATCTTCTCTGTTGTTTTTCTTAACGTTTCACTTCCCTGCACTTACCTTCTACTCTCTTCATTCTCTTGGGGATTGGGATGGGGCAGGGGTGTATCAGCTAGATGCATTATCATCTGGATTCATCTCCCACTTTCAGTGTAATGTCAGGGTGGTGGGAACTGGAAAGGGAGCCCATGTTTTGGTCTCTCAGACTTCCTTAGTGACCACTGCAAATTCTACCTTTCACAGGACATTGCGAGAACGGGGCTACCTGGGATGGAAACAAGTGTGTCTGTCCGCAAGGCTTCAGTGGACCCCAATGCCAGTCCCTCTTGGAGTTCATCTTCATAGGTAATTACCTTTATCTGAGCCTTGCAGACTTTCCTCAGGCCCCTTAAATCATCTAAAATAGGATGGCAGGGCCAGAATGGATCATCCACTACCATGAAGGGAAATGAGATAATGTGATTTTTGCAGACTACACTGCAGTCAGAACATGACCCTTTCTTCTGCTCCTCAGGGCATTTTCCATCAGCTTACCTATTTCTTTCTCATGATGTTTTTATCCTAACCCATTCTGAAGCCCTCATTTTCGTTCTTCCTGGGTCCTGATCCTGGTCAGCTCCTCGCACTACTCAGAAATAAGGGGCAGAAGTCTCAGCAATCTCACCTGCCTCTTGATTTTCTAGCCTCCTGTCTGCCCACTTCCTCCATATTCAAGAGGCCAAAGGCAAAGAAATAAAGTATTTCTGAAGACATTGCTAAGAAGTTGTTTTCTCACCAAAATGAACCTCTTCCCACAGATATCCCTGAAAGAATCAATGCCACTTTATCTCTGCTACTGAAAGTGACTTACAAGAATTTTACAAAAGATCTGGAGAACACATCTTCCGAGGCATACCAAGATTTCATGGAATTTTTCAAGGAGCGGGTAAAGCAAGGGAAGCCCAAATTGCCCAGGGTGAAAGTCAGACGGGAGAGGTGGTAGTATGCTATCTCATTCTGACTTATCTGACTTTCTTGCTTGGTGGTGTTGTTAAGTGCTATTGAGTTAACTACGGCTCATAGCAACCCTATGAGCAACAGATCTGAACTTTGCCCTGTCCAGAGCTGTCACGATCTCTTTTATGCTCAAGCTTATTATTGTAGTCATTGAGTCAATCCAGCTCCTTGAGGGTCTTTCTCTCTTTGGCTGACTCTTTCTACCTTTCCCAGCATGTTGTCTTTTTCTAAAGACTGGTCCCTCTCGACAACATGCCGAAAACGTGTGAGGTTTCACAATCCTTACCTCTAAGATGCACTCTAGTTGTACTTCCTCCAAGAGAGATTTGTTTGTTCTTTTGGTAGTCTGTGGGATATTCAGTCCTTCTTATAAAACCACAATTTAAAAGGCATCAAGGGGAGCTCTGATGGCCTAGTGGCAGGGAGCTGCAACTACAATCCCAGAGGCTCATGGTTTGAATCCTCTAGATGCTCTGCCGGGGAAGGCGGGACAATCTCCTCCTGTACCAGTCAGATCTGATTTGACAGTACACTCACACACAAAAATAATAAAATAAAAAAAATAAAAGGCATCAAATCTTCTCTAAGTGTTATTCATTGTTAAACATTCAGAAGCAAAGGAAGCAATTGAAAATGCCATGGATTACATCAGACACAACTTTAACTGATGTCCTTGCTCTATAGATCCCCCTGAGAGGTGGTCTTCTGAGAGGTGATAATTCTTGAGTCCACTCTGCCAAAATCCTGAGCAGAGAGGGCATCCTGTGCTTTCTCCCCCTTACTCCTATGGGCTAATACAGGGAAGAGATTCTGTGACTGCCCCTAAGGCAGGGAACAGAGTCACTATAGCCTCTATCCCTATGTGAAGAAAGATCTCAATTGCTTTCTTTCTTCCAGATGAATGAGGTTTACAAGGACGTTCTCGCTTATAGAGGTGTCAACATTACAAGATTACTGTGAGTATGTAGAAGGGCAGCTTTCTAGATTGTGGGAAGCACCTCTCTCTTCCTTTTTCAGTCTCCTCCCAAGATCAATGGTTAGAATATTTCCGTGGGAGAGTCAGAGGGGTCATCTGACCCAAGGAAACACCCAAGGCCCTTAAGACAATTTATTCCTTAGTCTTTATTTCAACAAACACTTTACTGAAAGTCTACCCTATAGCACAAGATAGTTCAAGGTTCAGATTTGTGGTTCATAGGGTTGCTGTGAGTTGTATTTGACTCACTGACCCCTAACAACAACACTAACTCTATGCCAGCCCCATGCTAGGTGCTACAAACACAGTGGTCTCTACCTTTGTGGAGCTTAGAGACGCAGGGCACAGACAGCAAACTGGTTGTACAGACTAGTTGAAGCTAGAGCACAGAAGGCACAGGGTACCATTGGAGACCTGGAGGAAGTCCTTCCTGGGAGAAGTCACAGCTAACCTAAGGCTAGGGAGACGAGCTATGATGAACTTGGGAAAAGAAAAGGAGAAAGACAGTATTATGGCAGAGGGAATAGAACCCAAAGGGGAGAGATAGGAGGGCTGTTCCAGAAGGGCTGACTACAGAAAGAAAAGAGGGTCAGGAAGGGAGAGAAGGCTGAAATATAGCCCATATCAAGTTACTTAGACTTTGGCACATTGACAATTAAAGCCTATAATTGCTATTGGGTGGGTGGATCAGCTTACCATCAGCATAGAAATACCCAGAAAGAAAGTCACAGGTTGAGTCAGGAACAAGCAGAAAAGGCAGAAAACCCAAAAGAGACTGGGCAAAAGCAGAGGAGTAGGCAGGATTTGGGGGGGGGGGTGCATCCCAGGGACTGGGGAAGAGATGGCTTCAGAAAGAAGAGAAGCAACACCATCCAGGACCCTTGGCACATGGAAACTCGGAGTCCTTCACCCATCCCTCCCCCTGTCCACTGCCCCATCTCCATTTGGGCTCTGGATTTTGTGAAGTCCACTCCTTCCCAACTTCTATGACTTCGCCTCCAGAGCTCTTTCCTCAGCAGCCTTACCGCCATCTAATAAACCTCTGGGTTGGAAGCTACGTTTCTAAGCAAACTCATTCTTAATTTTAAAGAATTCACTTATTTGATTTTTAAAAACATAATCCGAGGGCTTCTATTTTTTTTTTTTTTTAAGTATTTGGATGGATTTTACCTACTGACGTGGATTGTGCTCACTGACTATCCAAGATCTTAAAAATCATTCTGCCCAGCTTGTGCCGCCTGGATTGCCAGCTGTTCTAGGGAAGGGTCTCTGTTTTCTGCCTCTGGGTCATGTGGTTCACCCATCCCCTTCTTTCCTCCTCCTGCCCTACCGGCTGGGAGTCTGGCATGATGGGCGAACACTCTCTGTTTCAGGAGTGGCAGCATCGTGGTGGAACACAATGTCAACCTTGAGGTCAACTACACTTTAGATTATAAGAAAGTGTTTAAAAAGCTTGTTAACATTGTAAGGAAAAAGATTGTTAATGAAACCAGAAAGGCAGTTGAGGATCCTGACAAGTGCAAAGGTAAGACCTCCTGGAGAGCCCTTGACAGCGGTGGGGAAAATTCCAGAGGGGCTGTTAGGAAGGTTTAGTGTCTCCTCCTTGCCTCATTTAGCTTCTGGAAGCTGGGCTCAGGGCGCCTTCCTCGACCTTCCAAGCCTCAGGCTGAAAATGTCAGCATCTCTGATTTCTTGCTGAGTGTCTGAGATGGACCCCAACAAAGGGCGTGGTATAGAGGGATGGGGAGGACCAGCCACACTTAGGGGGACCAACACGTGCATCCTTGTTTTGCTCTTTTCCACTCTCCCTGGCAGATGCCTCGGTTTTCTGCTATAGTGAGGAGGCCACAACAGTATCTGAGACCCCGAAACTGAGCTTTGACCCCCATGGTATGCAGCACAAGGGCAGGAGGAGGGCAGGGAGCGGGGAGGGCGTGCAGAGTGTGGTTGTGAAATGTAAGGAGGTGTGTATGGGCCTTTTTAGCTCAGCTGATGACTGCTCTTGACTCCTCCCCTCAGAGCAGTGCATGAGAATGGCTGCAGAGGGCTTTGCCCAGTTCTATTATGTGGACGAGCTGGACGAGAAACTGGCCTGCGTAACCAACTGCACTCCTGGGACAAGGACACAGCTGAACTGTCACCATGGCACCTGCCAGCTGCAGCGCAGTGGTCCCCGCTGTGTGTGAGTGTTGCCCAACCCCAGCCCAGGGCCCGTCCTCTCTGAAAGGAGGGCAGGTGGCGGTGGACAGAGTTTGGAAGGTGCCCCTTCCCTTGCTCCTCTCCCCACATCAATCTGGGTGTCCTCTTCTCATGCCCTCCTCCTCCCTCTGGTTTCTCAAGACACACTCACCCCCCACCCCCCCCACCCCGTGTGGAGAAGTAGACACAGATTCCTAGGCAGGGACATTCTAGGGCTCATCACTCCCATTCTCTGCATCATCAATTTCCAAATCTATACCTCTATATGCTTCTGTCTCTACTTCTATACTTATTGTTGTTGTGTACCATTGAATCAGAACCGAGCCATAGCTGACCCTCCAGTGGGTTTTCAGAGGCGATGACTGCATGGGAAGAGACTGCCCAGCCTTTTCCTGTGGGGCAGCTGGTGGATTCAAACTGCGTGCCTTCAGGATTACAGCACAGATTCTTACCATTAGGCCACCAGAGCTCCCTTCTATACCTATACCTGTACCTGAACCTGAACCTGTACCTATACCTTTACCTATATAAGCTCTGGTGGCCTGGTGGGAAGAAGCTGTGCTGCAATCCTAAAGGTACGTGGCTCGAATCTGCCAGCGGCCGCCTGGGAAAAAGATGGTCAATCTCCTCCCATGTGATTACTGCCTCTGAAAATTCACTGGAAGGTCAGCTATGGGTCAGTTCGACTGGATGATACACACAACAACAAAAACAACAGTACCTGTATCTGAGTTCTGTCTCCACTTCTATACCTGTATCTATATCTGAACTCTGGTGGTTTAGTGGTAAAGAATTGCGCTGCCAACACAAAGGTATGCAGTTTGAATCCAAGAGCTGCTCTGCAGGAGAAAGATGGGCAATCTCTTCCCATGTGATTAACAGTCTAGGAAAACCTGCTAGCGGGTCAGTTCTGACTTGTACTCAATAATAACATAGCATCAGGGAGTCCTGGTGGTGCACATGGTTAAGCACTTAGCCACTAGCTGAAGGCTTTATCCATTTGAACCATGTGGTGGCTTTGTGGGAGAAAGACCTGACCCGCTTAAGTAAAGGCGACGGCTGGATGGGTCACTCTGAGTCAGAGTCGACTCGACAACACCTAACAACGATAACAACAGCAGCAAGATCGCAACAGTAAGAGCTAAATCATCAGCTTCCTTTACGTCACATCAGTCCGGCTGCTACTATCACCTCCGGCTGTTCTGGGCTCTAAGTTCAGGAGATCATAAATTAAAGAACAAGATATGAAACCTGATAACAGGCTCGTCCAAGTGCCAGCTCCTCAAAGATTAAGTGCGCAAAACACTGTGAATCTCAATATTTTCAAATCCCTCTGCACGCTGGCCATTCCGAGTCCTGTTCTGCAGCTCCCTCCCCTGTGCTATCCTCCCTTCTCTCCACTCCCACCCCTGACGCTGAGGGAATCACGCACCTCTCTTGGAGGGTATCCAGGGCCTTGTTGTCAGGGGCTGTCACATCAGTTCCCACTCAGAACGTGCCTGGGGCATTCATTTCTCGTTTGGGGAGTGGGCGTGAGGAACGGCTCACCCTGAGCATGTGTGTCCCCAGGTGCCTGAACACTGACACACACTGGTACTGGGGAGAGACGTGTGAGCGGAGCACTCAGAAGAGCCTGGTGTATGGGATCGTGGGGGCCGTGGCAGGGATGCTGGTGCTACTGGTGGTCACCATGACCATCTACCTGAGCCGGATGCTAAGGAAACTGCAGAGGTGAGGCTTTGCCAACACCACAGGCCCTGAGACTCGAGGTGTGGAGAGGGACGCCTAGCAGGCTGGCCTCTGAATGCCCCAGGCCTAATAGAAGGAGCGTCCACTTTGGGGAGCGCCCAGGCCCCCTTCCAAAACATGCCCTGAAAACCACAGGTCCCAAGGTAGTCCCAGAAGGTCTCAAGGCCACATACATGCAAGTGAAGGGCAGTGCCTGGCATGGGGGGGACAGGCTGTGGTCAGGGTCTCTTCATTTTCTTCTGTTGTCACCATCATGGGCAGAGACAAATCCACTCGAGGTAGCTCTGCCTTCTGGTTTCTCTGCCTCCATCTCATGCCACCAGCTGCTAAGACTCATGGCAATTCTGTTGACAGGGAGTACAAGATATCACAAGAATGGCAAAAAGAAGTCCCAGGAAGTTTCCAGAACACACGCATCTGGGAAGGTACCTCACATCAGAATAAGGGTTGGGGCAGAGCTGAAGAGTAAAGGAGAGGAAGGAAGGTGCCCAGGCCCTGACTGTGGACGACATGGGTGTTCTGATATCCTGATGTGCTGCAGCCAGGAGGGGCCGTGGGCATCCTGCCTTCCTGGCCCACACCTGCTGCTACAGCCAGGTCCATGTACCTCTTTGCTCAGCTGCTCTGGTGACTCCAGGACTGACAGAATCCAAGTTCTGCTGACTCCTGACCGAGATCCCCCATGAACAGCCCCTGCTGACCTTCCAAACTTTTCTCCTGCTCTTCCCCTTCCTTCAAGTGGGAAGAGAGGCGGGTGGAGGCACTGTGACAGACAGACCTCAGGGTCTTCACCAACAGATAGGAGTGGGAGGAGCAGGAGAGCTCTAAGATAGAGGCCTAGAGACCAAAGGGACCCATCTGCTGGGGCAGGGGGCAACACAGTGTCCAGTTAGAGACAGGAAGACAAAGAGCATAGGCTGAGGGTCAAGCTCTGGGGAAGGTTCCGGAAAAACTGCCTGTTATAGTTACTATTATTGCTGCCACTAGATTCAGGGCTTTCTTATCCCCACCACCTTCGGCACTCCCCTCTTGGCCACACCAGGGTCCTTCCTCCTGATGACCCCTGACCCCAGCCATCGCCTCCTAGAAGACTGGACCTGCCTGCTCAGCTAGGACTTTTGACCTTGCCTCTGGGCCATACTGGTCAGCCCTCTTCCCCGGTGTGCTCAGAGCAGTTGAGTCCCTTAAATTAATATTAGAGGACAATCTGCAGGAAAATTAGTTCAGGAGATAGCAGGCTGGCTCTTCAAACTTAACTCATTTTAAAAAAAAATCCACTCCCAAGTCCCCCCCCCTTCTCTAGGGCCTCTCTCACCCCAGTGTCTCTCTCTACAGATCAAGGTATAAAGGACAAATACAGCCTAGAATCTGCTTACAGCCACTTCCAGCCCTCCCTAAAGAACATGGACCCTAAAAAAGAGGTGACTCAGGATGTCCCCCTTGGCTGGGAGCTGTCCTGTGCCACAACCCCGACCCTCCACCACTGAGGGGGCTGTCCAAGAAGGGTGGAATCAGCTCAGCCATCTGGCTGGCTACCTTCTGCCTCTGCTGGAACCTCAATTCTGGAGGCAACAGGAGATCGGGCAGGAGCTGGCCACCTCTCAGTATCCTTGTGACCGCTCCCTTGTCTCCCCCTCCCTCCTCCTCCCCAGATCCACATTCAGAGGATGAAGATGGTGAAACCGGCTCCATGGGTGGGAGAGCTCAGCTAACTAGCGCCCTGTGTCCCAAGGCCCCTGTTTGTGAAGAAGAAATGGAAGTCAGATGCTGGGGTCACAACTGGAGCACCCCAAGCAGGCACTATCCCATCTCTTTCCAGGCACTAGCTGTGGAGTTGGGTGGGGCTATGAGTCAGCCCCCCTCAACCCTAGCCCCCTCCGCCCAGGAGCCAAAGCTGGGCTCAGTCGCCTGGGCATCTCTGTTTGCTCTTCTGGTGACTCCTCACTCTGGAATTTTCCATAAATAAAATAAGCAATCCTGAAGTGCAGAGTCTAAAATGAGTCTTTCCTTCTGCCCCTCCCCCCCTTACCCTGTGGGGCCGTGGGCTTCCTCCAGGCTCCTTGCCTGCTAGAAAGCTCCTCCCAAGGGTGTGCCAAACCTGAGCATGGGGATCTAGGCCTTTCCTGTGCCCACAGACAGGGTCCCTGCCTGCTATAGGCCATACACCCAGGCCCACCTCTTCCCGTGCCTCTGTGCAGTCAAACCCCCATCCCAGGCCCAGGTGGGGAGTGGACCTCAGATTAAAATGAGAATCCCCTGGGGACAAAGGAGTGAGCAATAGGCTCTGTTGACCCTAATGGGATTGGGGGGTGGGGTGGGCAAACTTCCTGCTGAGCCCACAGACCACTGGACCTACCCATCTGAGAACGTCTAGCCATCTCAGGGCACCCTGTATTCTGACTGCCCATGTGACAATAAAGAGAGCTAGAAAAGGATGATGGGGAGGGTCTCCACCCCAGGGGCCCCCTCCCTGCTAGAGCCTGAGCTCCTTCAGTTAGATCCCCACCTCCTGCCCCTTCCAGAGGTCTCCAGGGTCTTCTCCTTCTTTTTCCTGGCTGCCTCAGACACTGTCATCACTGCCAAATGACTGGGTGATAAGTAGTCAGTCTTCATCCTGGGTGCTGCCACTGCCTAAGTCAGGACTTCCCCTCCCCTCCCTCTGCCCTTTGGCCCAGGATAACTAGACAGACCCCACACCCCCAGTCATGAGCACAAGCTCATTTACTCACTCAGATTTGGGCCAACCCCCAGATCCTCAGCTTTTCAGGGGTCAAAGGGCTCCTGGGGCCCTATTTATTTCTGGATTTCTTTGTCTGACACTCACTTCACCAGCTCTCCACAAGTGAGGGTGCAGGGCAAGCGCTCAGCTTTCCAAGTGCTGATGTCAAGGCTGGTGATGATTGCGCTTTGCCTACTGCCCCTGTCCCTTACCCTCCAGGTCCTGACCATCCAGGCCTATGCTGCCCAACAAGGTGAGTAACTTCATCCCCGTTTGCCCCAGGATGTTTCTAGGTACAGCTGAACCCCTCTATGCTCCTTGAATCTCTTTATCCCTGCCTGTGTGATCTGGGGAACAGCTTTAAGGTCAACTGATCAGAGTCTTCCCTGGCTCCATCATTCTGCCTTTCTCTCTGATCTTTAGTTTCCTCTCCAGAAACTGAGCACCAAGATGCTCACCTCTCAGGGTTGCTGCCTGGATTAAACGGCATTCCCCGAGCACTATTCACTGTGGATTTATGCTGGCTCAGCGGATGCTTCAATCACTCTCATCTCTATCTCTCATCCTTTTAACAACAGCCTGCATTCAAGCTGGGGTCCTCCTCATAGCACACAAGACCAATGGCGGAAACCTCTGTTTGGTCTCAGTCTTGTCCTGGTCATTTCCACATCCTGCCCCCATCACCCCAACCTGATTTATGTCCCCGGATATCCCAGGGCTGCCAGGTGTCCCAGAAACAGGAGAGAGGCCTTTACTATAGTCAAGCAGACATAAGACTGAGTTTCTGGGAGCCTCTATTCCAATCCTATCACCAAGACGCTTTACGCCTTTGGACAACTCGGCTCCTCTTGAACCAATTCCTGCCTGTTAAAAACCAGAGACTGAGCTTCTTTCAACTCTGCTGGAAGTCCTCGGCTGTGAGGACCAGGCTTAGGTCAGCAGATGACAGCAGGTCCCTGAATGGACCCTCCGGGACTCCCCTTCTGCCTCTCATCTGCTGTCAATGTCAAAGAGAAGGGGGACTAAGGCAGAGAAGAGCCGGGATTCCCAAACCCTCACGATGCTATTCTAAGGCTGTCTGGATGAGGAGGGAAGAGGAATCGAGGTAGTAGCACAGGTTTCTCGCCTTATCCAGAAGATTTTACTCAATCCTGCATGTCTTGGACTTTGTCCTGCCTTGAGCTCATAGCACTAGGAGTGTGTGTGTGTGTGTGTGTGTGTGTGTGTGTGTGTGTGTGTGTGTGTAGGGGCAGTGGGGAGAGAGTCTCCTGATTCCCTGGCCCCAGTTCCAGACTGGCTTGTCTCCAAGGAGGAAATGCTGGAGGGTGGGGGGAAGTAGAGAAACAATACCTGAGCCTAACCTTGAATTTGGGAGACTCTCTTGCCTCATTTGGCTTTTTGCTTCCCTCATTGTTCAAGTCCAGATGGAAGGTGGATTGGGTGACAATGGAGAACAAGGGGATACAGGGAAAGAGGCTGATGGGGGGGGGGCGGGGGACACAGTGGCTTGGCCTTGCCCTAGAGAGCTAACTTCATGACCTGCGCCTTGCTACGATGCAGACTCCCAGAATGATGAGCAGTTGGCTTATTGTTGCTGTTGTTCTGCACTGTTGAGCTGGAACCCACCCATAACTGATCCTCCAGCAGGCAGCAGGTTCTGAGGACGTAAATTGCAAAGGTGGAGATTGCCTATATTTCTCTCTTGGTGAATTTGAACCGTGTGCCTTTAGGTTGAAAGTACAACTCCTGACCGCTAAGCCACTTTGACTCTCTGTCTGAGCGCTAGCTATGCCTTTCAGAGCCTCTGGAAATGTGTCTCAAAGGAGACACGCAGGCACGGTGATGGAGGAGAATACTCCTGGGCCCTCTCACCTCTCCACCTGACTATGCTCTGCTTTCTTCTCCTTCTCCTCTTTCTCTCTTTTTTATCCTTTTGCCTCTCTCCTTTTTCTTCTTCCTGCCTCTTCCTTCTGCTGATCTTGCTCTCTCCCCATGTCCTGATGAGTATAGCTTTTTTCCCCCATTTCAGCCTCAATCTTCCTTTCTGTAAAATAGGATGTTTCCAACTCTCCACTCCTGCATTAGGGTTCTGTGGTCACTGCTTTCCCTCCTCGCTGTCCTCAGCCTGGGCTTGGTTTGTCTCTAGGGTCATAGCCAACCTACAGAGGCATCTGACCCTCCCACACCCTCTTTGTGGACCTAGAGCCTCACACCTCCTCAGTGATCTGTGTCTGGGGTGCCAGCATGGGTGTGGCTCTGGTAGAAGAGGCTCATGACCTCTCTCTATAGCAACCCTCCTTCCAGTGAATGCTGATTACATCTCACATCAGTGACACGGTGTCTTCTCGGTCCAGTCTTGCCCTGTTCTGGTGTCTTCTTAGTCCCACACCCAGCATAACGTAACCAAGGTCTGGAGCTTAGTCACCTGTGATAGAAAGTGTCCTTCCCCCTTTCCTACCCTCCTTCCTACCCTGTACTAAACCCTTTGTCCACTCTTTCTCTACCACCATTCTCCTCTTCTGCCTTCTGCTAAGTCCAAGGGACACACTCCAACATGGCAAGGGAGCCCCAAGCAGTGGACTCTGTGAGCCCGAATATTGCCACCTAATAACACAGCCGTTGCTTTCTGTGGTCTGACCCCTCTCCCACTTCATCCCCCTGAAGATCTCTAGAGCCTTTTGTCCTCTTGGGTGCCCTCTCTACACCTTCAGGAGAGTCAAAAGGGCGAGAGCTACTGGGGAGGGGTGTGCTGAGGGCTTTAGGTGCAGGGTGGGACTGCCAGACTTCTCCACCAGGGGAGAGTGTCTCACCCCACAGAAGGCAATGGGGGAGCCTCAGGCAGAAGGCAGAAAAGGAAGAGAACTGGCTGTCCCCGGGAAGGCAGTGCTCAGGGAAGGTCTCAGCATTCTCTCTGGATGCAAGGAGATAATGATGACATCTCACTTGTCTTCACATGGGCCTGGCTTCCAGGGCCAAAGGGAAGACTGCTGGCAGCCCTGCCTTGACTGGCATGAACTAGAGACACAGCCTCTGTACTTCCACTGGTCTGGGTGAGGGATTCTGTGATGGGTATTGGCTCCTGGTGGGTTGGCCATTTTTTTTTGTTGTTGGCACATGAGCAGATCCAGAGGCCCAAGAAGAGGATGCGGGAACCCTGAGGTGGGGAGCACTCAAGGGCAGAAGCCATCTGCTAGGGTTTTAGTACTCTGACAAGTAGCATGCCCTTCCTGTAATCCTGCAGGGCCCACGAGGCAGGACTGTGTGACTCACATGACAATGAGTCCCGAGGCTCCTATAATTGCTCCAATTTACCACCCAGAGCCAGGAACGGCCCAGGAAAGAACAGGGATGGGCTGGTGCGGGAATACCTGCTGCCCAGCTGACCTGGCCGTGAGGACTGATGGCCTGGGAGCCATAGGGCACTTTGCTATATTAGTGGGTCTTCTCTGCCAAGGCGGCAGCAATACTGAACTTGTAGTTGCCGAGTGATGGATGGTCTGGAAGTTCCTCACTTGGTTCTAGGCAGCACCAACTACACAACTTACAGGGTCAGTGCAGATGAAAGATTATGGAGAATATAATGATGACAATGTTAAAGTATTAAACTAATCTCCAAAGTAATCTCTGTGTGGCGTTCGACGAACCACACATTCCAAATATCTGGAATCCACTAGCCCTCTAGGAATTTATTATAATAAACTGGGTTTGAAAAGTAAATCCAAAAGTATCGTCACAGGTCACTCACTTACAGAAATGATCATTTGAGTGGCGCCAAGGGTGGGGCACTTGTAAACCTTTTATTATGTCTTTAAATAGTTTTGTTTATTTTTTAGCACCAGTTGCTTGGTTAAGGGTTTTGTGGATGTTGTTGATGTTTTTGTATGCCAGTTTTATTTTCCCCTTCTCCAAATTTCCTGCTTCTTCTTTTTATTATTATTATTATTACTATTCTGGTTTATTTACAAAGTTCGTGTACATTGTTTTTTACACCGGGTGTTTCCCTTTTGCTTTCATCACCTCTCGCTCCACCCATCAAATTGTGTGATCCTATGATTAACCACCCCTGCACAAGGGGGTTTTTAGCCTACTGTTCTGAACATTTTCCCTCAAATTTTTACTTTGAAAAAGATCAAACCTACAAAAGGTCATAAGAATAATATTTTCTCCACAAATTTCTAAAACATTTCGAGTGTTTCCATAATGCTGGTATTTTGGCTCCAGCTCTGTCACATTTCTTTTGCCTTGGATGCACCTGGTATGCAGCCTGCCTTGGTTTTTCTTTTTTCAAATTTTTTTTGGTTTTTTTTTAACAGTATTTTTTGAAGAGCAGAAGTTTTACATTTTCATCTGCAATTTGGGTCCCTTTTCTCGCTGGTGTGCCTCTACTAAACCTATTACACAAATAGAACACATCTCTAACTAATGTCTTCATCTGATAAATCTAACATACACGTCAGTTTTTATTGGCTTCAATAGATTAAATGTTCTCATGAATCATATTTTCCCGTCTCTTCATAAGACAATCTGATTAGATACTGGTGTGAAATTTCACCTTGTTGGGAGCTGGGCCTTTTTGTATTCCTAGAAATCTTCTTGAGTCTTGTTCTGAGGTTCGGTCAAGTTACTTGAAAACAGTTGGGTTCTTTCTGTTCTTTTTTTATCATTTCAAAGGTGGACCCAGAGAAACACTCTGTATAGGGCAGATTATCTTTCACTACTGAAGCAAGAGGAAACTCTGGTGGCCTAATGGGTAAAGAGTTGTACTCCCAACCCAAAGGCATACAGTTTGAATCCACCAGTTGCTCTGAGGGAGAAAGATGAGCAATGGCCTTCCGTTCGATTTACAGCTTCTGACAATCTTCTGGAGGGTCAGCTATAAATTGGTTCTGACTCAACGGTACATAACAACAACCAAAGACCATCCCAAGTACTCGACACAATCAATGCCCTGTGAATGAGGACGCCTTCAGTTTGGATAGGTGGGCGCTCTGGTGGCCTAGTCCACAGGGAGTTACCTTGCTAACTCAAATGCCACACATCTCCAGGCATTTGAGGTCACCAGCGGGAACTAGGGAGAAAGATGGGCAATCTCCTCCTGTGTTATTTATAATCTCAGAAAAGCTGCGGGAGAATCAATTTTAACTTGATGGAAATGAGTTTAAGTTTGAACAGGAATAAGGACTGTTCTCCTGCTCCCTTTAAGCTTTTTAGATGGGGTCCCTCCACCCCCCATGTCTTAGGCAGTTCCCTCAAATGCATGCACTGGTCAGTACTATGCTAAATATTCCAGGAGGATGCTCTGCGGTCTCTAAGCCTCTCTGCACAGTTCTCTCCTCCCTGGTTACTCTTTCCTATGAACTATATAGATGCATCTCCTTCGTGCTGGGAGCACTTACTTTGTTTGGCATATATTTGGTCAAGGATATGTCTATTTATGTATTTAAATGTGATGCAAATATGTCCGCCTTTGGGGTAGAGTGGGAGCCCTGGTGGAGCGGTGGGTTAAGTGATGGACTGCTAACTGTAAGACTGGCTGTTTGAACCCAGCAGGAGCTTTTCTAGGGAAAGCTGAGGCAGTCTGCTCTCATTATGATTCCAGTCTGGAGAGCCCAGGGGGGACTTCTGTCCTTTCCTGCAGGGTTACTATTGACCTGACTTGATAGCACTGGAGATTTGTTGGTTTTTAGGTACATTAAAACATATAGGGGACAAAACAGTAAACATGTTAGTTATAAGCAAACATCTTAAGAGACTGAATCGCAGGGCCTGGACCTTAGCACCATGGTCTCCAGGGACCTCCAGGTCAATTGGCATAACATGGTTTACAAAGATGATGTTCAATATCCTACCTTGGTAAGCATCAGCTTGGGCTTTGCAAGCTTGCTGGTGACCATCAAAGATGCAAATCTTGGCTTCTCCCTGCCTGGAGTGAAGAAGAGTGAAGAAAATGAGAGATTTAGTCCGAAGTTCAGACTCCACAATCCTCAACCAGAACCATGTGCTACCCAGCTACCATGCAGACCATTCCGGCCAGGGTCACAATGAAGTATCTGTAGACTCAAAGAGAAAGTAAAAATCAGACTCACTGGTCAGAGAGAGGCTGACATACCCCTGAGAGTATGACCCACAGCCTTCTTTCAAACCTAGAACAGAATTCACAGATCAGGTGACAGGCCTGTAAAGTGACTAGGAAGCTCTGGTGGCACAATCTGTAAGACGCTGCCCTACTAACACAAGGAAGTTCAGAAGCCCAGCAGAAGGGCAGCTACAAGTCAGCTTTGACGCCACTATGAAGAATGATTTTCTAAAGTGAATAGGAGTTGTAGTGGAGTATTCTGAAGTGTTGCACTGTTAGCCAAAAGGTGGCACGTCTCCAGCAGTTTAAATCCACCAGTGACTCCAAGTGAGCAGCGTCCTGTTAAGATTCACAGCCTCAGAAATGATAGAGGGTGGCTATGAGTCAGCTCTGACAGCAGTGAGCAATAAAGTGATAAAATGAATAAATAACACCAGAGAGGAATGTACTTCCCAGAACAATTGGCCACGCAAGTCCCAAAGGGCAGCATCTGCAGAAAAACAAAGTCCAGAAGACAGAAAGGGGGAGGAGAGAAAGACAGGGAACAGGAAACCCAGAAAGGAAGTGGCAAGAGTCTTGTTACATTGATGAGAATGCAACTAATGTCCTGGGGAAAGATGGGTATAAATTGTTAAATGGGAAATTTATGTGTTATGTAAACTTTCATCCAAATGACAATGAGGTGCTCACAAAATTAATATATTCTGTCTATTAAGAACAATCCACAATCAAATGGAGAACAATTCAAAAATTTAAATAGGAAACTTAGGGGGCTCTGGTGGCCTAGTAGCAAGAAGCTGTGCTGCAATCCAGAAGGTGTGCAGTTCAAATACACCAGATGCTCTGCTGGGGAAGGAGGTGCAGTCTCTTCCTGTGACAGTCAGATCCAATTTGATGGTACACAACAATTAAAAAAAATTAAATAGGAAATTTAGGGAGGCAGTGTGTTTATGTTAATGTCCAAAGAACAATTTGGGAAATAAGGATAAGAATCGTTGCAGAACTTAATGAATATAGTCAGTACCATGGGATTGTATGTGTTGAAAGTGTTGAATTAGTATATGTTCTGCTTTCTATACACTCAATAACAAAAAGAGAAAATAATTTAAAAGTTAATATATTGTTTATGTATTATAGTCTATATACTCAGTTGTTTAAGAAACAAAATCTTTTCAAGTACTTAAGAAACTCCATAAACATAACAAATTAAATATGTATCTAAAAAATTACTCAGCAAACTAATTCTTTCTAGAATAAATGAAATGTGCAAATTATCTTTAATATAACTGTCTAAAGTCTAAATTAGTTACTCAGTTATATCTTTCCAATAGCAATTATCTGGCTGGTATGTTATTCTAGTAGGCCGAGTTTACTCAAACATCACAAATTTAAGTCCTAAATAGGAAGAGATTCTTTAATACAAAAGCAGTAATACTATGGATTTAGATGTCTTTATGATTTCTAGAGAAATTCTGTATTTTCTAAGGCTAAATGAAATTTCCAACTCCTCTCTGTATAGATTTGAGTGCATATAAGTATTATTAGTTTTATATATATATATATATATATGAGAGAGAGAGATCAGTCTACCTACCCATATCTATATGTGTATCTAAATCTATCTAACTAAAAACATATCAAAACTGGATATAATGGCTCAAACATAGTAGAGGTTGGTTTTTGATTCATTTCTTTCTCTTCCTTTCCTAACAATATAAGTCAGATATTCCTGTTTGGCAGATAGTTTCATGTGGTGATTTAGACATCCAGATTCTTTCTTTTTGAGGCTTCATTGTTGTTGTTGTGCAGCATCTAGTCAGAACCAAGCCAGAGCTGACCCTCCAGTGGGTTCTCAGAGGCAGTTAATCACACAAGACCCATCTTTCTTCTGTGGAGCAGCTGATGGATTCGAACCGTGTGCCTTCAGGTTAGCAACACAACTCTTTACAACTAGACCACCAGAGCTCTCTGAGGCTCCAGAATTCACTTGGACTTTTTCCACCATCTGCTTCCAACTGACAGGAGAGAAGAGCAGTCAGGATCATGAGGAAATTTTATGGATAGGGTCTGAAAGTGACACCCATCAATTGCCCTCATTCCATTGACAGGAACACATCCACTTCCCCTAAATGTTATACTTTAATTGGGGCACTATTTGACATTGCCTTTACCACTCCCAAAACCTGTAAGACTTGTCAGCTCCTACTGATTATTTTCTTGCTTCTTCTCTGTGGGGGAGTATGTCAGTATGTCTGCTTCTTCATCTGTGAAATAGGTAAGCTAGTCTAGGTGCCAGAGCATATTTTGAGACAATGAAGGTTCTCCAGTGAAGAACAAATGTCATAGTGCTAAGAGACTGATTTCTTGGCTCTCTTTCAGATCTCAGCGATAACACAGCTGTTTGGGATGGAGGAGGGTACATCTCTCGGGAGGATCTCCCTAACGTCCGAAGCCGGCAGCTGTTGGAGCTCTCTGGCTCAGGTGAGGTAAAACCAGCCCTGCGTCTACTTGATAGGCCACAAAATCATGCAAAAGGACTGATCTAACCTTTGGCAAAAATAACAAAAGAATATTATTTTATAGCTCATAGCTGCTTGGATTCTGAGAAATTTCCAGGGTGGGAGGGATGCAGTCATGGTATGGAAGAAGAATTAGGCTTAGCCCAATTTATATCACCCTAGAAGGAAAGCTAAGTGAAACCCAGGACAATTATACAGCCATATCTGTATCAATCTCATGAACAGAGGCACCTGTGACCTAAAACAGACCACCTACCACCACCACACTTGAGATCATTTCCTTGTAAAACATATTGACCCAATCACATAATTGTAAAAGTCTTAAATCAGCTCCAAGTCCTTCTGAATCATTTAAATCAAATATGAGTGAAACTTTAGACAAATTCTATCTTGGGGTGGAAACTGGTTGTTGTTAGGTGCCATCAAGTTGAATACATCTCACAGGGACCCTGTGAACAAAAGATCTGAACCCAGCCCTGTCCTGCGCCATCCTCACGCTTCCTGACACACAAGAGCCCATTGCAGCAGTCACCATGTCAGTCCACCTGGTTGAGGGTCTTCCTCTCATTCGCCAACCCTCCACCCTTCCCAGCATCATGTCCCTTTCCAAGGAATAGTAACCTCCTAGCAATATGTTCAAAGTATGTGAGGCGAAGCCTAATCATTCTTGCCTCCAACCAGCACTCCAGTTACACCCTGTCCAAGAGAGATCTAATAGATAGGAATAGATATGTTTTTCATCTATGACCTGTGAAATCCATACTACAAGTTATCTGCTTCCAAAGTACAATGATAGAACTGTCATAAGGTGAATATTTCCATTATAAATATGGTAAGTTGAGGGAAAATTATTTAACTAAATAAGCCCCAAACCCAGCAAAATACATTACATTAGCCCTCAGAGTTTGAGAATAATCCTCTCTTCTCAAGAACATCTGGTCAATTCAACACCTTCTAGAGACTGGGTGTTGTTCACTCCCTCTTGGTTCTCAGTAGAGGCCATAGGCTTAGGATTTCAGCTCTTCCCTGCAAGTCAACCAGGGCTGTAATGCTGTGTCCTCCCCTTTGGAGAACCCAGTACTCCAAGCCCATCTAAGTGTCAACTTTCACTTTCAGTCTTGTTCCTACTTCTGTACCCCATGAACTTAACAGACCCAAAGTATCCAGTTTTGAAGAAGACTTTCATGCTTGCACATCATAATGAAATGCTATATTAAAAATGTGAGTCAGCAAAGACGTGAGTCATCATAGTTTAGGAAGTTTCGATACTATTGCTGATTAACATTAAATGGCCATCTCTCTCTCAATTTATACAACAGGAAGTGAAGCAGGAGAAATAAAGACTGAGAATGGAGCAAAAACACATGATTTGGTGAAGGCCAGTCAATATCTCATAACTCAGTCAACTTCCACTGTTAGAGGAACATCTTCACCTATCAGTTCTATCACTACTACTACAACCGAAGCTACTTCTACTGATCCTAGCTCACCTACTCAAACCTCTGAACAAACCTCGACATCTCCCTCAACATCTACAATGCTCACAAGTGCCAGCAAAATCACACCACCAACAACTTCTAGTGAGACCAATCCAATTATTACCGTAGTCAGTGACACTTCCACAGCTCAGTCAACTTCTGCTGAAGGAGGAACGTCTTCATCTATGATGTCTATCACTACTACTTCAAATGAGGCTACTTCTACTGATCCCAGCTCACCTACTCCAACGTCTGAAGAAACTTCTACATCTCTTTCCACTTCTACAACAGTGACAAGTGCTTCTTATACCACAGCATCCACAAGTTCTACAGGGACTAGTACAGTTATTCCAACTATGAGTGACTCTGACATTGCTCAGTCAAGTTCCACTGATGGAAGAACATTTCCCACTATCACTTTGACCACTATTACTTCCACTGAGGCTACTTCAACTGTTACCAACTCACATACTCCAACATCTGAGCACACCTCATTTCTTTCTCCTACCACAGTGACAAATGGCTCTGACACCACAATATCTACAATTTCTACTGACACCAGTTCACTTACTCCTAATCTGAGTGACACTACCACAGCTCAGTCATCTTCCACTGCTGCAGGAATATCTCCAACCATTACTCCTATCACTACCACTACCACTGACGCGACCTCTACGGATCCCAGCTCATTGACTCCAACAGCTGAGAAAACCTCCATATCTCTTTCCACTTCTACAACAGTGACCACTGCCTCCGACATAACAACATTCACAATTTCTACCAGGACTAGTACACTTACTTCAGCAGTCAGTGACACTACAACAGCCCTGTCAACTTCCACCACTGAAGCAACATCTTCAACTATCACTTCTACGACTTCTACTGCAAGTGAAGCTACCTCTACTGATACCAGCTCACCCACTCCAACGTCTAAGGCAACCTCCACATCTCTTTCCACTTTCACATCAGGGACAAGTACCCCTTACACTACCACACCCATAACTTCTACTGGGACAAGTACACCTGCTCCAACTGTGAGTGACACTAC